GTCATGAGAGGTATACCATCTCCGAAGAACGTAGATTCAGAATCTTCAAAGTCTCCCAATGGCAGATACTACCCTCATATAAACCAGACAGTTACCCTAATCTGTGCTCACCTGAAGCCACAGATCGTGTGAAATCAAAAGCCACTAAAGCTGCGCATAAACAGTGGCTGAATGCACCCGAATTCGAGATCACTGAGGAGGACCAGTCAGTGCTACAGAAGATTACAGATCATCCTGTTGCACATGGCTCAGCAGAGAGTGGCCGTTTTATCGTCATCTTGTCTCCGGGGAGCTTCGAGACCCAAGTTCCAGGTCAAAGAAGAATCATTATCTAGTAACCCATCTAGAGGCTCTGACTCCAGTATACAGCTATCAGCGATAGTCGAGGTGGTCGTTGTTACTCGTCACAAGGGACCTGGGGATAACACCCCTCTTTCCAAGATAGGGAATATCACACCGTCCGCCCAGGTTCAATTTTTTCGAATCTAGTATCTAGTCCCATGGCACGAGTCCCTTACAGGTAAACGAATTCAATCCATCAAGAAAGTTTGCCAGCCCATACTGATTAGCTCCCTAGACATGCCGTCCTTCCCTCGGTATGCCACGCATGGGCACCCCGTTTTTCACATCTCATATGGAACACCAGACACATCTACCGTCTCAGCATGTTATTCCGCCGTTCGATCTACAAGTGTCGCCCTGAATATGGGGTTACTCACGAAGGCCAAAATCATCATCTATCTTTTGTATCCTAGTAATCCCATTGCTTATTGCAACAATAAGGAACCCGTCAGGTTCTGAGCCTTGACATCCTAGGGTTCTTCACAGCGTGTCCCTGGCCCTGGCAAATCAGACTTTGACGAGATAATCCTCGTTCATTACTTCAATGATCTATCGCCAAATTGCTGATCACAAAAAACCATTTATCGTATTAACAAGCTACATCAGTAGCAATTCAATTGATAGTCTGGACCTCGCTATTGATGTAAGTCTCTCAACATGATACAGCCCACACACGAAGACGGCCCAGTTCTGACAAAACCTATTGGATACAATAGATTATTATCTCCAGATTCGTAATTGTAAGGGGGGTCGACAATGTGGAGTCCGTTGCCCGTGAAATGAGAGTCCAGGGTGCCGAGAATTGACACGATCAGAAACGCTGTGCAGCAGAAGATATTGGATCCCGACTTCAGCTGTTTGCTAGCTCATTCCATTTGCGAATAATCATTGCATTTTGGGACACTCTTAGAACACTCAACGTACTTCTCGCCCAGTTCTGGCCATGCTCGATAGACCTTCTGTCGACAATGTGGGTGACATACTGTCAAAGGATGACTCTGATAGATAGACAAGGTAGTGATGATTGTGGTAGAAATGTATGGCGGGCTTTGAATTGAAGCACTCTTCTCTAAGAAAAAAAAAAACCTGGGAGTGAAGCTTTAAGGTACGGGTAGCCAGAAGAGCCAAACAAGTTATATTGACAGAATCCGCTAGATTGCTTTTCGCATTAGGTAGAGACTTGGTTTTCCAGCAGCAACATCTGTGTCAACGGGATCCAACGTCGAGGCAAGCTTGCCGTTACTGTGATGGACTATACCTATGCCCACTTGAGGTTGTGTTCCGGGACATGTCTCTCGATCTGGTGCAAAGTGTGATACTACCGGTTTGGAAACGGACTCAATTAGCCTATTGACAAACTTATCGGCCGATTGAAGCGGGTAATTGTCGATTTGTTTGATAATATGGCATGTAGCGTTCTACGTCTAGGGATCGTGGTCAGCTCGAGGAATCCTGCCAGACCTCAATTCGATATTTGTGTGTCCCGTCTGGACGTTGCTAGACCTGCAGCGGTATTCTGGTAATATTCTTGAATATATGGGAGGTTACGAAATTACACGCCACATGGGTTTATCTTGCTCCTTTTATAAGGTGGTACTAATTCAACTTGGGTTGGGTTGTTTAGAAATCCGGCCTTGGATATATAGCATTTCCTTGATCATGTCAAAAAATATATAACTGACACAACCTCGATGAAACCTCGATATAACCCACAGAAAATACCCTACGATCTATTATTAAACCCAGATAACAACCTATTGACAGCCAATCTAAGCTAAACAAACAAGAACACTATTTACCCCAACCCACACCCTCCAACACGATTGCCGAAAATACTAGGTAGTACCGTGAGCACACCAAATTAGAGTTACACTGTCACGAGATATGTTATGCCCCTTACAGCGCCAAATTAAAAACAAATATTCAACAAGACGGCAAGGTGGGAGAGTGGTTAATCCGTAAGACTCGAAATCTTATCCCTTCGGGGTCGTCGGTTCGAATCCGGCCCTTGTCGACTTTTTTTGCTCCTGTTTTGTCCTCATCGGGTAGCTGTTGCTAGTGTGGTGAACTGGTGAGAGTAAGCTGGAGTTTTTTTTGCTTCTCTTGTTTTTGGTTGATAGTGTATGTTTTTTTTTTTATCTTTCGTATACGGAGGACGTGCACTAGGTTTCACCTATACATTGGACTTTGTTACCTAGGTACTTGACTGCAGCTAATAGGATCCAATCGGGAGCTTGGGCTACTTCTGATACACTGCCTGAATCTAAATTTGTACACGCCACCTAGACAGAATAGAATCAACCTGATCAACCCTGTTGGAACTCTTCTCATGCCCAGCAGCAGTGCTGCCCACCGAAGGTACCAACCCACTTCCACTTCCTCAACAATACTGGTACTAACCAATATCTAGTATAATAACCACAACTCTAATTGGGTACCAGCAGCCACCCCAGCGGCATCACTCCCCAATCACAATGCTTTGGACTCGTCTGCATCTGCCCCAAACAGGAAACAAAACCACCGCGCCAACCGGCATTGTCTCCATCTGATCAGGATGGCTCGAGATACATCTTTTGCCCACTCATCCCGCCGTAAGACGTTATACTAATGTAGTAAGTGCAGTAGTGGTAGTAGTCTGGTACGGTCAGCGATTATGATCCACCCTCTCAGGGAAAAAGAGACATATTCCCTGAGCTAGAGAGCCTGGTTTCAAGCGACATGCAGAGAATAACACGGGGTTGCATTGGTTGCATTGGTTGCATATAACTAGTACATGGCCTGGACCTAGTACCTAGGCACCTGGATACTTAATTAGTCACTGGTAGTGAGTAGTAACCTGCCTAGGTCCTACGGTCTACCCCTGCCTGTGACCAGAACGGAGGCGGCAGTTGACATGGATCGAGGTGATTGTTCCCCCGCACCGAAGAATGGAAGCTTCGGTGAGGACTTTTCATCTGAAATATGGTCCTGGTGGCGTGGATGATGGGGCTCGGTGTGCTGTTCCTGATTTCTACCTAGGATGGGTTTACGGAGTAGAAAATCTCTCACTTTGGGAGGCACACACCCTGACCCATATATATTCTCTCTCTCTCTCTCTCTCTCTCTCTGTCTTATATTTTTTGATTGCCTGCATTCAAAGTTATTTAATTTTATGTTTACCTATGATGGTAAGATCCAGGATAGGATAGCCTTTTAAGCGGAAATAAAAATTTCCACGTCTCTTTTTGCGACAACCAGCTGTTTCAAAAGTCTCATAGAAGGATGACTCTGGCACGGACATAAGGAAAGAATTCGCCACTAGCTAAACCCCAACAGGATTAGTGGGAGGCAGTGGCCAGAGAAAAGGTGAAAGCTCGAAGCTCGGGAGCTCCAATAGAACTAAATTGGGTTGCATGCAAGCTAGTGACGCTGGAGCTGCGGAGAGCTGGAGGAGGGGCATCCCACCTTGGATTTTTCTCTTCTTTTCTTCTTGTCTTTTCTTTTTTCTTGCTCTCTTTTTTTTCGGTCAGAAATAGATATATATAGGAGAAGCATGTAGTAATATTTTGGAATATTTTCTATCCACCATGAATGCATATCGTTTGTTTCTTTCCTTGTCATGATTTAAGCTGTTGCCGCAGCTGTCGCAAACTCCGACAATACCGTACCATACAATACAACATAATACCAGAATTACCACATGATACTGACAGTAACGGTATCAGACCAGGCCGATCTCAGCCGGGCCTTTTCGTGGGGAAGCACCGAGCATACCACGAGACGAGCACAGCATCTGCAAGGCCGAGCTCACCTTGCGTTCTAGCTTCAGTATTAGAGGATGGTACTGTTAAGGGTCTTGAATTTTTGCGTGTTTGACCGGCTAAAACCCCTCTTTGCTGGTGTAGGTCATGGTAAGGGACAGTCCACCCGAGGCAGAGAGCTCGGAACACACGTGAGATGGTAGGTAGGAGAGGAATCAGCTCGATCCAAGGTCTTTTTCTTTGTGCATGGGATCAAATGGAAATGAATCTGATCCGGTGTCGCATGTCACATTGTCGATGCTACTCCGAGTAAAGTTAGTTAGTAGGCTGCAAAGGATATGGATTTGCTGGGCGGATATCGCGCTGTCCACGGTCAGCTTTATCGATAGACTTATCAACCAGCTGATATCAAGCGCATCAGGATAAGGCATTCATCCTTATCTCGAGCTGACTTGTTCTGGAATACAGTCTCATATACTTTACCTACCTGACCTACCTTACTCCGTACTCTGGCATTTAAGCCATTTAAGCTCCCATTGTGTTGGATGTATGAGCCGTGTTACCCGGTCTCTCATGTGATACCGTACGGTACCAAATACTCCCTTTTCATCTCATTCTACCAATCCTCTGGAGATTGGTAAGCTCGCCTCCGTTGAGTCCAACGATCATAGTCGGGGGGTTCCGGCAGGGTATGGGTGTATGTGGTATGTGGTATGTGGTATACTTGTATTATTGGTAAATTACGCGCGCAAGAGACCTGGCCATTTGCCTCCTCCTCTCTTAATCTTTTGCTCCCTCCTTTACTTCTACTTTTTGGTTCACATCATTTTCTCCATTTTTCTCCATTCTTATCCGTGGTCTTGCCAATATTCATTTGTATCTGTTTTTCTGTCTTTTTTTTTTTTTCTTTTCATCCATTCCTGGATCCACTCCACCACACGGTCCACACCAGCTGGTCTAGTTTCCTCTTCAAGGGAGCTTTCTTTCCTTACCTGACAGACACCAGATTGAAAAATACCGTACCCTGACTAACTACGACTATAGTTAACTAACCTCAGCTCCAGCAAAGCCAACTAACTTTCTTTTATTACTCCAGCTTTTTTTCGGTCTGATGAATTCTTAACTTGTTTCCTACAACCTCCTGGTGTAGTGGGTTTCTTTCTTTCTTCATTCTTGCCTCTTGTCTGCCACTGGCATCAGTTAAAGCTTCTTTTCTACCCCTCTGATCCCCCCCATATTGGCGCCGCTTCATCTATTGCATGCTTTCTACCCCTGCCCTCTCCCGGAGCATGCATTGTATCGCTGGTTTAAGAGTGATCTGATTCATTGTCCTGCTGTCATCTATCTATCTGCGTGCTTGTTGGCTAGCTTCTGCCTCGGACCAACCCCGCCATCTACGGATTCATGCAGACCATGCCCCCCCGAGCGTCCATGACTAGCTCATTCTCTGTGACGGACGCCAACAATGAGGTGGTTTGCCCACTGAAGAACAATGATGGCTCCAATTGTCGGAAAAGATGCTTGGGCGTGAGTTTTCCCGTTCCCGCCCACCCCCCTCCTTATTTGTTCTCTACTCCGCGATAAGAGCCCCACTTTTGGCAAGCTCGGCCTTTTTGATCATGATTATCATTCTGTCAACTGGCTGTGAGATATACATGGAACTTTGGAACGGGGAGGGAGGTGGTGACGGAGGTTGAGGCTTTATAACCACCTATCTGGCGTTCGCATCTGACATGTCATGTCCCCGCGTTAGGAGAAGCGCTATCGCTCCATGCAGGAGCACATTCGGCGGGCCCATCCGAACCACTATATCCCGAAGCTCCCGGCGACCGAGGAGAGCTTCCTTCTGATGGTCACCACGCCGCCGGATCAACGGGCCCATTTGTCTCCGCCAAACCAGTCTCAGTCTCATCGGAGGCGCAATGGTGGGTATAGCTCCATGCGACCGTGGGATACCTTGTTGATGGGGATTTAGGAATCGCCGACCGCGATATCTACGTCGCGGATGCCAGCTCCCCGGCTACTCCTCACGGGCCTGATGAGACTCATCCGGCCGCCGCGACTGCCGCTGTAGCTCTGGCCCAGTTGCATCATAATCGGCTCGCTTCGGATTGGGATACGGATATGGTATGTCGACTTCACCCTTTCGAATCATTTTTTAAAGCGCAGGAATAACAAATGACAGGAGAGCCATTCGGACAACGACCTTGCGCAAGGTCGTATGCGTTCTTCCATTGAACTGCCGTCACTGCGTGATCATTTCAAACAAGAATCGTTACGGCCACTGTCGCCTCCTCGCCCACGAGGCCTACTACCGTCCATCCTCAACCACTCGCCCCCGGGGCGCTCTTCCACCCTGCCTCCGATCCAACGAAGTGACAAGCTGCCGCGACCGCGCAAGTCCTCTATCTCTGGAGCTCGCAAGCCGAAACACGAGCGGATCAAGTCGCGCGAGTTGAACAGACGACGCCCCAGTCTCGGCGACCGCAAGGCACTCTCGGCCGAACCGCAGACTGCCGCATGGGCGCAAGGCAAACGGTGGGAGGACCTGATCGAGGCAGCCACATCGGCGACGGAGGTCGACGACGATCGACAGTCTGAGGTGAGTCCGCTCAAACGACCTCCTCCCCCGACCCTTATCGGAGATTGCTAACCGTACCTGACGTCAGCTCGGTCGCTCGCCCACCATTCCCCCACTGATTTCCAACCTGACGGGTCCATCCGAGAAAAATCGGTCGTCGTTACCCCCGGGGTTCGCACAGTCGGGGCTCCCTCATCCGTCGCATCGTCCTTTCGGGCCTCACTCTTACGCGGCATCGCCTCTGCACAAGTCCCTGACCCCACCTCCCTACGACCTGGCCCGCAACCGCGACAGCGACCTGGAACCGTTCCCGTCCATCGAGTCGTCACTTGACTCGGCGTCGACGACGTCTGGCAGGATGGGCGTCAGCCGCCTGGGACCGCCGATGAACGACTCGAGCCCGGTGCTGAACATGTTCCCTTCGTCGGCCTCGCAGCGCCAGCACCACCGCTTTTCGAACCCGACCCCGGCTTCCTACCGCAGCAAGGAGATCGAGATCTACTGCGCGCATTGCAAGCGCGCGTGGCCCGTGAACGAGTGCTACGCTTGTACTGAGTGTATCTGCGGCGTGTGTCGCGAGTGCGTGGGCATGTTCATGGGCAGTCCACAGAACTCATTCCGAAATGTGACATCGAGTCCGGGCAGCGCCATATCGCATGGACCTACCAGCTATCCCAACCGGCCCTGTCCGTCGTGCCGGGCGATTGGGGGCAAGTGGAAGGCATTCCGATTGGATTTCAGATGATTTACCTTTTCTTTCACCTTTTCACCTTCCCCCTTCTTCACCCTTTGCTTTTCTTTCTTTCCTTTTATTCCTTTATTTACCGGGACACGGAGTTGAACGGAGTCAATCATGTTTTACGGACGTTACGATTAACGGATTGAGGGACTCGGTACTCAAAAAATTTACGGATGATGACGGGGAGTGCTTTGCGGGCGGAACAGACAACAGCAGCGGGCACTCCCTAAGTGACGAGAACCCTGGATGTAACGCACCAGATGTAAAAGCTGGACTTTTCTTTTCTTTTCTTTCTTTTTCTTCTTCTCTTCTCTTGTTTTCTCTCTTTCACTAGATGAGATGTTTTTTTCTTCTTCTCTCACTGGTACAACTGGTGAGATCTTTCTCTTCATGAGTGAGATTTGACGTGACGCTGGCGATCATTCGATATACACTAACGGTGGCATTTTGGTGTTGGCCTTTTATTTTATATATGTTATCTGGTTGGTTGGTTTGACTTTTTATGATATATGTATGGTGACTGCATCAATGAAGATATATCTATCTATCTTTCCAACTCACCAAGAGTTTCCCACCCTAACCAGAACGGAACAAAACAACCTCAAAAACCAAATCCAAGGCAGCCAAAGAAACCAAGCAAGAAACAAAGACACAAAGAAAACTACTCAACCCAAACAACACTGCCCACCCCCTCTGCAGTCCCCACCTCTCCCTCCTCCCCAACATCCAAACTAGCCACAACGCCCCCCAACTCCCCACTCTTCACATCCCTCTCCAAAACAACCACCCTCGCCGAGCTCTGATCCCCAACCAGCATCAAATTCCCCTCCCGGTTAACAGCCATCGTGCGCGGGACCTTCCCCCCAGAGGAGACAAGATCCTCAACCTTCACCGTGCCGTCCTCCTGCCGGCTCAGCGTGACCACGGAATCATTAGGCGCAAAGGCCTGGTCCGTGCGAATGGAAACGTAGATGTTGGACCCCGCAGCGACGACTGCCGACAGCGATGCGCCTTCAGGCAGGGTCTCATCCGGATAGGGCACGAAGGACTGGATGTGTTTGAAGATAGGGCAGTTCTCTCCCTCCTCCTCTTCTTCTCCCTCATCATTCCCCCTCTTCTCCTTCTCCTTCTCCTTCTCCTTGTCATCATCGCCAGAAGCAGACGGATAAACCACCTCGTAAGCATTCATCCGCCCATTCAACTCATTCACCGTGTAAAGCGTCGTCTCGCCCCCCCGCCCAGGAACATGTCCAACAGGCGCAAAGCGCGACAGCGAAGCAGGCGGCGTCCAGAAGACAGCGTGGCGGGGCCCCGCGCCCCGCGGGAAGCCCCCGATGGAGGGGCAGGGCGAGAGCTTGCCGGTGGATTTTTGGATCGCGTAGATGCGGATCTCGTCGGCGCCGAGGTCGGGCGAGATGATGTAGGTGCTTGTGGGGTCCAGGAGGACTTGGTGGGGGTGGGAGATGGCTTGTTGCGGGTTGGGGGAGGGTTTGGAGAGCTTGTAGGGGATGAATTGGTGGGGTTTGGAGTTGGGTTTCAGGGGGAGGGTGTAGGTTGAGAGGGAGGCGCCGCCGCTGTTGCATTCTTGGTTAGTTTTGTAGATTGTGTAGGGTGTGTATGTGTACGTGTGCGTGTATGTGTATGTTTATACGTGTATAGTATAGGGAGGGGAAAGGAAGAACATACTAGTGCGCAATAGCGAGGTATCGCTTCCCATCTTCACCACCATAGATAACGCTGTGGACACCACCGCCAGGGACCTCCGTCGTGGTGATCTCTTTCAGCGAACCTCCCTTGTCGGAGATGGAGAGCGTGCTGACTGAGCCATTGGTCTTTGGATCGCCCGTCTCGTCGGAGCAGTAGAGGAGGTGGAGATCGGGATCGACGGTGAGCCAGCTGGGCATGGGCCCGCATGCTTTCAGCGAGGACACGAGGTCGAGCTTGTAGGCATCATTGTGGCGCTGGGTGAGGGAGAGGGCGTAGACGTTGCCGTTATAGTGGGTTGCGTAGATGTTGGCTTGTGATGATGATGCTGCTGCTGCGGAGAGCAAGGGGGAGAGGGAGAGGAGGGTGGTGAGGGGGTGGATCATTGTTGCGATTATCATTTAGAGGTATGTTCGCATTTACATGAGGAGAAGAAGGTAGAAGAGAGAAAGGAGAAGGGTCGTGATTTTAAAAGAATTAGAGAGCCCTTTGAAGGGCAGAATTCCGGATAAAGGAACCATCGTGGCAGGGATGATTGGGGGTGTTGATGTGGGGAAGTACAGGCTGGGAGTGGTATGGATCGACATGTATGCCTGGAATGTAACTGTATCACTTCATTTATTTCGAGTGTTGCCCGCCACGCCTGTGATTGTCTATCTATCTATGAAGGAGGTGATGATCACAAAGTGGCTGATATGATCCATACGAGATAGATGACCAGTCAAGCCCTAACTACTCCTCTTCCGTGCCCAACAACATGTCCACCACAACAGACATCACCAGTCACTGATACTGATAGGTCAAATCGGGAAATGACCCTATTTATCTGCCGCACTCACGATCCCTCCTGCAGGAACATTCGTGTCTTGGAGTCATTCTGCAGAGTCGCCCGTCTGTCCTCCACAACCGGCTTCTCTACCCCTGTTCAGGCCCGGGGACTCCCGGCGACAATGGTGAAACCGGGTAGGATTCGCTGCAGGATTCGCCCCGATGGGACCAAATGGGGGCGAGATGGGGGCCATATTGGAACGGGGCGAAGCTGGGATCATCGTGGATTTCTCCTGTGAGCAGTGGTCTCTTTATTGGGGATTTTTCAGGTGGAAATGGGGAGCGGAGACCGGCTTTGGCTGGCAACTGGCGATTTACACTGCTAAGCTGGGCATTTTCAGCCTAACTTTCATCCACCTATCATGGCTTTGATTTGCTGGGTAATATATAAGGGCTGACGTATCACAAACAATGATGATGATGATAAGGCTAATAAGGATAAGAACAAAGGAGACAATTTCTTTGACCAAGACAAAGAATTTGGATTAGCAGGGTAGCCATCATGCTGGTCCTTGTTGGCAAGTTCCCATCTATACTCCGTATAATCCGAGTGACGGCGAAGTATTGTATAAGGTACGTCATGTAGAGATATAAGTTATGCTTAGATATTTATATTATATATAAGATCTCTGTTGAGTCCCCTGATGTTCAACAGATGAGACAGGCACGAATGGACTTTATTTGATTCACCTTCGGCTAAGCGGAATCACAAGTAGAATTGCCTACCTGATATAAAAAATTATCTTATTCTTATAGGACTTCAGATTAATTCTAGGATAAGATATTCTCAAGAGAAAAGAGATAAGAAGACTTTATAATAAGATAAATATAATAAATCATAAGAGAAATAAAATTTAGTACGCGGTCAGCAAGGCAGTGATTAAAAATGGGGTTGACCCTGTGGCCGCTACGGCATGCCGTAATCGGGTAAGGCGCTCCTATTATATAGATGGTCTCATCTTTTGATATCGTGTCAACTCAGACTGACCTGAGCTACTTTTGCTATTAGACCAGTCTCTATATCCTATATTATAGTAAGTCGTGATTGTTTCATGTCGCCCCTTAAACTATTAACTAACTAACATTATTACTCTTTAGCTGAACTGGGAAACTCGGCAGAATCTGATATAATATTCTAAATTATATAGATCGCTTGTCCTGATAATCTTCAGGCCACTGGCCAAGCCGAGCCAAGCCATACCTGATGCTAGACATCGCTCCGTGTGCCTCTACCGAGGGCGCTGTGACAGATACAGTGCTTTGTAACAACTATGTTTGTCGGTTCATGATTGTTTGACGTGATCTACCACAATCTAACTACGGAGTATAATCTCTACTCTTTAAGGGGTCTTATGAACAGTCCTACAACCGTTTACTCTACCTAATCAAGTCTTGGATGATCTCAAAGCTGTCTCTTAAGAATAATAAACTATTATTTGCCGAGGCAGATAGAAGGAAGGTATGCACATTTCACCTTCAATATATCTCGGATCTGCCCTTATCAGTCACAGTAAGCAAGGACACAGTAAGCAAGGACAATATACTCCAAGATTTACTGCGCGATGGTGGCCAGGGTGGAGAGATACAGAGGCTTGAAGACCACATAGCAGGACCCGGGTGGCAGCCACCCGCCTTTTGACCGCGTTTAAGCCACACCCCACGCCGGCCGGTTAGTAGTTGGGTGGGTGATCACCAGCGAATTTCGGCTGTTGTACGTTTTTCTCCTTTTGATTTTCGAGCTCTACTTCTGATTGCTCGGCGACGATGGCAGTTTGTCCAATGTTGGACGCAAAGATAGCTAAGTCAAGCTGCGCGGCCATTGGATCGAATTGTGCGAGGTAGATTGTCGCTTCTGGCCTTGACGTCGGTGATCCAATTCTCGAAGTGGCCCAGCCATTAAACTGCCAACCACTCCTCGTGGCGTTCACGCGGCCTTCCCGCATTGACTTTAAATGCCGTGATGAGGATCTCCTTGGCAAATTGAGAGCCTCCTTCCGGTCCATGGCCCGGGGACTGAGTGTAATGCTCTTGCAACATCTTCCATCCTACATGTTGCCATAAAAGTACATAGCCATCCGGGGTGTACCGCTCACCACGACAGGAAAGGTAGTCCGAAGACAGCTTCGTGAGTGCGTAGAGACTTTCGCGACACCACCAATGAGGGATCTGACCTTCTTTGACAGTGTAGGGGAACCTCTTTCGGGAGCACGCTGGGAGTCCACCGTCGGCCTGTAGATCTCCCGACAGTCTCCACAGTCTTTGCAAGCACAGACCATTGACAAATCAAGACGCGGAACGGCGTACAGTCCGCGACTTTTGTGTACGCAGGCGATGGAAATGCCGTCCGATGTCCAACAAGGCTGTGGGCTACATGGCACAGACGTGGACCTGAGTTGATGAAGGGCCCCTAAAGGGCTGGATACACGACGCTACACAACGCTGTCACCAATCTCTTGTTCGTGGACCTTCGTTGAGGTTCAATCTATACTGCACCTCTTTATTTCTCTTGATAGCTGCCGTATCTCCGTCATCCGGTCCCGTGTCCCTTCAGTATGACGGAAAAGCCCACTCCCAGTGATTTGTCGCTCGGTTCGCTAAAGAAGCGGCACATCGCGGGCGTACGGGTCAGTTGGGTTTCCTCTAGCGCGTGAGGCGCATCGAATGCGGTTTGTCTCTGATAGAGGAGCTGATATCTGACTTCATAGCAGCCATCATTGACGTATTTACCAAAGCGGGCGTGAGATATGGCCTGAGAACTCTGCTCGGACATGGAGCGGGTGCCTACATCCAGGCTGCGTTTGCGGTCACACAGGCTGTGGTAGTCCCGACTGACGGGCCGAACGGGCTGGCCTTCATGCTGCTAAGTTCGTCGCCTATTGCGTCCTACTCGTTTTCCAGTAAGCTAACGCACACTTCGCAGCCCAGTTCAGCGGCATGGCGCTAGGCCTATCCATCAGCGACGCCATACTTGTCAACGTCGCGTCGAATGCCCTCTCCGCCCTGCTCCTAGCCTCCCAACCCTAGGTCAGGCAAGGCGTTTCCGCACCAAGCGGCCAAATGCTCTCATCGTCGTCCGGGACACTGCGCACGCAGTCATTTTCCATCATTGTGTCTGCATGTGGAATACATGAATGCTGTTGGTTTCCCAGCTCAGCTGAGAAGAGATCGATTTTGTCCGGGGGAAAGTAACTTCTGCATATATGTGGCTGCTGCCACGAACTTGGTGTGCTCGGGTTTAATGGCGGTAGGTGGCACGAGCTTCTGGCTTGGAAACTATCTTACTCAATACGGCGTACAATACAAAAAGCGCAAAGTCGCCGCTGCGGGCTGTCTGTGAGATATGTGGAATACTCCCTTGCCTTTTTGGGTAGAAGTTTTATTGGAGGATGATGCAGTGTGACCACACATGCTCGAGAACCAATGTGTTAAATAATAAGTTGGGCAATTAGAATAGGCAGTCTACTCTGACAATTGTATGATTACAAACTGATGGTGTTCCGTACCATTTTTAATAAGTGATAATTTGGGACATCCCCAAGTGCCGGACCAACAATGTCGATGATCGGTGTCCATCCCCGATCCTAAGACCGTCGCCTGGTGTCTTCTTTGGGGAACCATTGCTACCTCGAGGCTGTTACCAACCCTGGACTTTTCCATTGCCCTTATCTGCCACCGAATCGTCCGCCCAGTACCGCCCACTGACCTGCTCAATATCACCGACCGCCAATCGTAGCGGGATCTTCGCCCCCTCCTCTATTGCCATAGTGAGCAACGTGTCTGCGGGAGAGCAGGTGCTTGCACTCACCAACAGATTTGGGTGGCTGACCTGCCTGCGTACCCAGGGTCGTGCTCACCCAACCGGGGCAGCAGCAATTAATCAGCAAGTTGGGATTGTCGCGGGCCAGAATTCGCGTTCCGGCATTTATGGCGGCCTTGCTGACGCTGTAGGCCAATGCCGGCCAGCCTGACATTGTCGCGGTTTTCTGGTCTGCTGACTTCTATGGCAGGCAGTCAGTGGCAAGCTGGCAAGAAGAGAAAGAGTCTGTCCACACAACATACGCTGTACTCGTCGATCAGGGCATCAAGCTCCCTGAGAGTGAGGTCAGGGGTTAAAAACCGCGCCTGCAAGCGAGGATGGAAATATTCTAGCTGGCCGGTTTGGGAGGAGATATTGACAATGCGGCCTCCTTTGCGCATAATTGGTAAGAACGCTTGACAGACCTGGGGGGTTGGTTATTGGGTGACTGCAAATGAGGGGGGGGTTCTAAGCTTCTACATCGAGGGTCCCCCGATAGTTCACGTCCAAGGTTTCTTTGCGCTGTTCGGCAGTTATGTCCTCTCGGAAATAGAGAATCCCGGCGTTGTTGATGAGAACGTCACAGCCGCCGTGTTCGCTGCTGATCCTCGTGCGCAAAGCAGCGATACTGGCCTGGTCGGTGATACACAGCTGTGCGGGTCGAACTTGCACCGTTGGAGGGATAGATGTCCCTGTCCAGTCAATAACGGCCCCAGTACGCGAGGTTGTGTATACAATCAAAGGGCCTTTGAAGTCCCGAAAAAGCGCAGCACAGATGGCATGACCAATGCCACGATTCTGTAACCATGTGAGAAGGGACCGGCCTCAAACGGAGCAGACTTACCGCGCCAGTGACTATAGCTACAAGTGGAGCGTGCATGTTCAAAGATGTTGACTGTGTGAGTACTAAGTCACGAGAGGGGAAAAAGACCAGGTTAACCGGATGGCCTTATATCTGTCTCCTGCCTTGCCAAGCCACACTATTATTTCACTACGATTTAGCTCCACGCGCCAAGGGGAATGTTTGTAATTGTCTCTGGATAAACTACTTACTCCGTAGTGTTGAAATGCAGGGTGGGTCATTTACCAGCGAGGCTTCAGCAAATACCCGCTGTTGCACCAGTTTTGTATGGTTAAAGGGTCTCCACCACTCGACGAAGATCACACTTGGCCAACGGAAACCTCATGTGATTCAGCACTCTTGCTATCTACCTCCTCCACTCATGAGAAAGAACGCATCCGAAGCCATATTGGGAATCATCATATGCCCCATGGTAATATCTTGTTTCCTGTGTGGACGTTGTCTCGCGACCCATCCCTTCTCCGGTCTCCCATGCCGCAACACTGCGAAATATGCCATACTGAGATATCGCGCTGGATGGCTGTCATGTCTGGCGCTGTGTCCGGCTAGACAACCTAGTCTGATATGGCGTGACTTTCTAATATCGGTTCTCTTAAAGGGTGCGTACGTGGGCACATCTGGGAATTCGTCAGCTTTTGCTATTGATTCGTCGGCGCATTGCCTGGATTGCATACAAGGTTATATCCTCCTGAAACGAGGCGCTCGACTACGTCCATGCCCACCCCATCGTACGCCGGTCTCTAGCAGGCTTACAATGCGTGAATCTTTTAGCAATTATGGAAATGCTACTTATCTACGGCTATATCATCACTTACAAGCCCACAATGCGCATTGCTCACGAGTGTTTGATGCTTGAGAAAGACGTGCTTGGCCGGCGCCCTATAATCATCGGCTCCGGGGACGGAGTGCGCGCGGCATACCAGGAGACGTCCCATACTTTGGCCAAAGCATACCCCAGTATAAATTTGTACCAGGTCATTGACTGTGTGCTGACGTCGAGTTTTGTTGGTTTGGGCCTCTCTGTAAACAAAATTTGAATGCTTACCAGTCTGAGCATAGTACACATGAAAGTGGCCATGTTGCAGGAGACACTTGGAGCTCCGCGCTTGAAGATAATAAGCTATGTGACACTTAGACGCGCGTGGCCAGGGGTAACGGCCACCGGGAACATGTTGGTATATCGCTCGACATGTCGAACATGATCACCCTCCAGGTAGACTTCCGGCTCGCACCGAAGCATCCAGTTCCAGCGCAGGTCAATGACTGCTTTGACATCTACAACTGGGACCGTGCTATCTAAGTAGGTGCTCGGCATGTTTCATTCACACGCACAGTCTCATCTTTGTGATTCGAGGGTCTTTCTGGCCTGCGTGATACGACAATACCGCGTGCAGATGCCGATTCAAGAAGGTGCGAGATGGCCGCTGGGCCAAGGTGAATGGAGAGCACGAGAACCTATAGAGTCAGCACGGAAAGGCTCGAACCGGCCTTGGTGGAGGCTGGGGGCTTCTTACCGGAAGGTCCAATTGTAGCGGCAATGTGAACAGATGGATCTATAACACTTTTAACAAACAACTTGTACATACGACCATAGGGTGTGGAGAACAGGGCTTCCCGTCCGCTCAGCCGTACTTAAGCCACACGCCGGCCGGTTAGTAGTATGGTGGGTGACCACATGCGAATCCCGGCTGTTGTATGTTTTTCCTTTTTGGTTTTGCTATTTGTTGGGTTTAGTGCCCGGCCTACTCTACCTTCACTTGCTTCATCATCCTAGAAGAGAAGGCGTACCAAGTACGTAAACTCGGTCACTTAGAAGATTGTGAACGAGTAGAAACTGGACTTGATGGTTTATCTGAAAATCATCTGATGCCCTGTCTCTTTATTACTTCTCAGAAGTTTATCACCCTCTTTCTGGTATTAGAAGAAAGGTAAGACTTGGTATATTCTCTTCCTGTCTGGAAAGCGCCTTATCTCCTCTCTTACGGAGAGTTAGCTATGATAGTGATCAAAGATAGGCGCTCCTTTAGTCTACATAAACTAGAGTGGGTTAATCTGACTGCTATACCTTAACCATGACCTGACTGGTGGTTGACGGTCAGGTTAAGGTATAGATTTTCGATTAACCGCGGTTAACTGTTATACGTGTACTAGGCCTAGATGGGTTAGATAATTACTTGGTTAAGCAGACGATCTAGAGCAGCAGAATATATTTTTAAATCTACTTTTAAATGATAGAACGGACAGAATAAGGGCTATATATATATACTAATTTGAATACTAGGCCTAGAACCCTATATAGAGTAAGAAATCAATGACTTTTATTTACAGATCCTTGCCTAAATAGGCTTGATTACCGAGAACGGTTAACCGCAGGTTAAGACAGAGGTCCTTAACCTGGCCTACCCTGGCCATTGCCCACTCTAACTCAGAGTCCCTGTCACAGCTGGGCACTCTAAGACAAATCAAGGATGATTGGCTTCAAAATTAAGGCAGCAACAGCCGGGGTGGAGAGAACACGGTTTTCCGCCCAAAGGCCACGCACAATCGTGTCCCCACGGTTACTCCGTACCATGAACAACGTATGTGACCACACCACATATGTCAGTTTATAAAATTGATCTACTGGTATCATAAGAAAATATGCAAATTGTAGCGATTTTATATAACATTACCGCCACAGCGTGCACACGTGGGTGTATACAATGCGATTAGGCCGATCAGACCAGTGGTACTACTGCGTTGTCTTATATACTCTCGGGCTATCCCACTTGAAGTTCTCAAACATTGATAGTATTGATCGGAAAGTAAGCACGCGAACTTACCAACCTTGACGCCAATCATCTTACTTCATATTATGGCGTCAACGGGATACCGACCCGGAGATCCCTCTCAGTATCCCCACCAGCTTATCGGCATCCCGCTCAGTAGGCATACTGGATGACAAAACAGCTAATAACTCTACTCCTTATATCTGGGTTGTGATTCTTCCTATTTCATTTTCCAACTTTATATTTATTTTAAATGGATATCTCTTCTTGTTTTCTTTCTTCCCCCTCATCTCTTCCGCAAAAAAGATTAAAGCTACCGCCATGGATTCTCCCCCAGCAAAAGCTTGCGTGGATGATGGGCTAACACGGAGCTATAGTGCAGCTGCAGAGGGCTACAGTAATTACCTCGAGCCTGTGATCTCCGAACTACCTAGTATCCTATATCCCCCCGAATTCGAAATATACTGGGACCCCCAAGACAGCCAGAATCCCCGTCTATGGCCCCTGTGGTACAAAAGCCTCACAGTGATGACCATGAGTCTCGGCGCTACAGTCGTAAGTCTCTTCAGCACATTATACACATCGGGGATCCCAGGGCTGCAAGATGAATTCCAGATATCCAAAAGTGTGGCCCTCCTGGGCGTCACCACCTACCTTCTCGGCATGGCGGCGGGAACGGTCATCTTTGCGCCGCTGAGTGAAGTCGTGGGTCGACGGCCTGTTTATATTGTCTCCATGACGATATTCCTCGTACTGATACTGCCGAGCGCCCTAGCCTCGAATATTGAGTCAATCCTCGTGGGCAGGTTCTTTGGGGGTTTCTTTGGAAGTGCGATGATGTCCAACTCTCCCGCCTCTGTCAATGATATTGTGTCTGATGAGCACCGAGCTCTGGCGTTTGGATTCTGGTCTATTGGACCTACCAATGGTCCGGTTTATGGCCCGATCATCGGTGGCTTTGTCTTTGAATATCTGGGTTGGAGATGGACGAACTGGATTGTTCTCATTATGGGCGGTGCCGTCTTGGCCTTGATGGTCTGTATTGAAGAGACGTACGCTCCGCTCATTTTGAGAAACCGAGCCGAAAAACAACGGAAGGAAACGCAAAATCCAAAATGGTGGACGCGTTATGATGGTGAAAAGGATATCAAGTCCTTGCTTAAAACGAGTCTCAGTCGGCCGTTTATGATGATCATAACGGAACCAATATGGTATGTCCCTCACCAGACTATCTCTCACCACCATCCCTACCTTATACGGAAACCTCATCTAACGACACTACAGTCTATTCTGGGATATCTACGTCGCAATAGTCTACGCCATCCTCTACCTCTGCTTCGTCGCCTACCCAATCGCCTTCCATCAAGAACGCGGCTGGTCCCCCGGAAACAGCGGCCTTTCCTTCACCGGCATAGGAGTCGGCGTCCTGATCGCCATCGCAATGGAGCCTCTCTTTCGAAAAGTAATCAACCTTCACCGCAAAAGCTCAGAAACCGGCACAGTGCCACCAGAGGCTATGGTAAGCATCATCTGCCTCGGCGCAACGCTTCTAGCAATCGGCCAACTGTGGTTCGCCTGGACTTGCACGCCCAACGTGCACTGGATTGCGCCCATTCTGGCGGGTGTTCCCTTTGGGGCTGGGAATGCGTGTGTCTTTATCTATGCAAATAACTACATGGCGCGCTCGTATGGTATCTATGCTGCTTCTGCGCTTGCGGGGAATATGGTGTTGCGGAGTGTTATGGGGGCTTGTCTTCCGCTTGCTGGGCCGGAAATGTATGCGACGCTTGGGTTGCATTGGGCGAGTACGCTCTTGGGAGTTGTGGAAGCTGTGTGCATTTTGATTCCTGTTGTCTTTTACTTCCAGGGACATAAGATTCGGAAAGCGAGTCCGCTTATTAGGGAGATGGAGAGGTTACTGGCAACGTGAGATACTCCAGTATGTCTCAGTCACGAGTATCATGCATCTATTATCCACTGTGTATGCGAAACCGATCAAGTCTGGGTTGAGATAGTGCTAATAGCGGGCTGTCATTTTTGAGATAGTGTAGCCTTGCCTTTATTAACCTCCAAGGTCTTATAAAGTATGACTTGTCATCTAATAACAAATGAATTCTATATACTGGTAAAGCATTCATATATACATGTAGTCTAATCTAATCTAATCTAGATGCAATCCATATTAAACACCCTGATCCCTCCCCTCAAAAAACCTCAAAACAACCTCAGCAGCCACCTCCGAATCATCCACCCCAGCCTCATCCCCACTCCCCCCAATCTCCTCCAAAACCCTCCCGATCCTCTCCTCCCCCCACTCCAACCGCCTCCCAAACTCCCTACACGTCTCGCGGTTCACAAACCCATCAAACTCAAAGTGTCCCTGGAACGTCAACACCCGGCCAGGATAATACAGACCCTGCACCGCACAGGCCGCACTAGATCCCACATTCACCCACGGGGATGGCAACCCCCCACACCCCTTCTCTTCCTCTTCATTCTTGTGGTACTTGTGACTGGCAGGAACAACCCAATCCCCATGAACCATCTGCAACCGCATGCACTCCGGCCCCGCGCGCAGGTCGCGAAACGGGCCTGCGAATGCGCGCGCGAACGGCTCAGACAGCGAGATGTCGACGGGGCCGATTTCGAACCCCGCGGGGCAGGCTTCGACGTGCACGGATGGGTAAAGCAGGGCTTGCGCGATGATTTGGTGGCCGAAGCAGGCGCCGAAGAGCCGGACGTGCGGGTAGCATGTGAAGACTGTTTGGATGAATGTCTGGAGCGGCGTGATCCAGGGGTGGGTGGCTGTTGCGTAGACGCCGGAGCTGGAACCGGTTATGAGGATGCCGTCTATGGGGTGGGTTAGGGGGTTGGTGTTTGAGTTGTTGTCGCTGGCGCCGTTGGTGGCGACGGTGGTGGTGGTGGAGGGGGAATGAGGTTGCTTGCGTAGACTGTCTAAGGAGGGAAGGCAGCCTCCTACGACGTCGTAGGCTGTCGTGTGGATCTGTGAAGGAGACTCATGGACTCGTGCAGCGGCTTCTTGGAGGAGTTTTTTGAACTGAGAGGAGTAGAGTCCGCGACGGGCGTAGACGGCTGGGACGGGGATGTCCGCGTCGAGGATGGCGATGTGCATTTGTCGCTTTGTCGATGCTTGGTTTGATTGCGCACTCTCTGTAGTTTGTTCTCTTTGATTGATGATAGGCTGTTATGCTTGAGTTGGATTTTTCAGGTGATTGAGTTGAATGGAATTGTTGTATGTTTTTGAGTGGCGCATCTCCATGGGTTGGATTTTAAAGAAAAATGTTAAAAAGTGGGTCAGACGCATAATGTTACTTGTTTGGGAAGGGCGGTCCGTTTGAATTCACGAATAACCTCAAAGCTTATCTGTCGGTTACTCGGATGCAAAAGGTACTGTCATAAGCGAGGTCGTGGAGAGAGCATCCATCAGCCACTGAAGGGCGGCAGGCAGGCTGCAGCCCAATATCAAACGCGCATATCAAATGCGGAGACAGATCTATACAGATAAGATAAGTAAATGACTGTTCAATTCGTAACTCATATCTATTAGCATAGCATGCATGCATCACTGCACGATCTTATAACTCCCCCCACTGACTATCTCCAGCTTCCCCCGGGACACCATCCCCGCCAGGAACTCGCGCAACTCTTCATTGCTGAATGGAAACCCTCCGGGCACCGCGATCTTCAGCATCATCACGATCCGCTGCAGCGGCATCGCCCCCTGGTTAGTCAGCATCCCCACAATAAATTGCCAGTAAAGGTTCATCTTTTCCATGGCTGCCGCTTCGGCCGATTCCTTGGCGGCCGCGGCCGCGGCCGCATCGGCGGCTGCGGCTGCTTGCGCTGCGTCGGCGGATGCGGTTCCGTCGTCGTCGGCGCCGGGGATGTCTGCGCTTCCGGAGGCGGTTGTCTCGTCGCCTTCGTTGGGGAGTACTTCCAGTACGCGGTAGGTGTCTCGTGGTCCCTCGATGAGGATGCGTTTGCTGACCCAGAACAAGCAGGCACTGCGCACTAGTGACGGCGACATGGATAGCTGCGCGGCGAGGTCCTCGATGGTGAGCGAGATCGAGTCCTCTGATGGTGACTGGAAGGCGTAGATGACGGTCGCTTGCCACGTCGTGACTTCGTTGACGAACACTCGGTCTTCGAGGTCCAGCTCGACGGTCACCTGGCCGAGTCCGTTGAGCCATGTCAGTTTCCGCGATTGCTTCAACGAGCCAAACCCGGCCGCGTAACGTTTCTGCAGCTGCACGATGTCCTCCGGCACGTGGAACTCTTGCTCTTGGATCTCGGGCCAGAAGAAATGTGACAGGATCTTGGCATGCAGGTCCGGAATGTCCCTCCCGGCTGGGCGCTTCGCACCCTGGGCTGGAGTCGACGGCGTCGCGGCAGACTGTTTCCTCGCAAGCCCCTGGTCGTTTCGCACCACGGCGTCGACTCGTCGCGAGTCGAAGATATCGCGCAGCATGACCTCGCACGCCTGCAGAGCATTGTCGCCGAACCGGAGCTTGAGCAGCTCCAGGACTGACATTTCCTGGTCGTAGTCGGCACGTTTTTGCAGTAGCCGGTCGGCCAGCATATTCTGCATCTCTTTGACGAACATCTCCTTCGAATCGAAGAGACTGATCAGACTGCCGATGACGTCCGACGTCTTCGATTTGCGATAATCGGGTGCAGCGTCAACTGGATCAGGCACCCAGTTCATGTCGTCCCAGTCTAATTCTCCTTTCTCACCACGCAGCGAATTTTGGTGCGCTTTGGTTAGTTCTGCTGACAGCTCAACTAGCTTATCTCCGCTCGATGAGGCCTGTGCATCTACATCCGTCGGATCAGCCAAGAGACCGCCAACAATCACCCGGACCGTATCGTCGCGATCCCGCAGATACCGGCGGATTGGTCTCGCAATCCGGTCGAGGAGGACGCCCTTGGGATCAAGCAAGTTGAAAGATCGAATGATGGAAATGTAGACCTGCAAGATCTCAACAGTCGAAGCACCCGGGTGTAGTAGCCTGCGGTTGAGCGTCGCGACAAACGAATGCGTTAGGTGGGATCGCGCTGCCGGATATGTGATGAAATGACGGAGATCTTCAATGGCACCACTGCTCGCGGGCCATTCCACGATCACATCGAAAAGCTCGCTCGTACGCAGGGCCCCGAGTCGCGATATCCCGACCTCCTGCCACTTTTCTACGTCATTGAGGCTCACGTCAAGCTGATCGGGCTCTTTCTGCCCAGACTCTGGGACATTGATGACAGACAGGACCTGAACCACCAGCCGCGCAAATACGTTCTCGATCCAATGGCGCAGATGTGATGATGCCAAGGACGGTCCTTCCCACTGGTTTGCGTACGCCGCCCTGATAAACTCCGACATCATGGCATTCATCACACCGGCGAAAACCTTTTGCGCTTTCTCCCCTCCTAGCCCCACGAGCTGCAGACCATGCAGTAATGACAATAATCTTTCCCGAGCAGCCGCCACGCGGGTCTCTCCCTCGTCGGACATCATCTGTAGCCGAAACTCATCGGACGGGGCATCCCGCCAATCTTGGTACGACACGGAGTACTGATGATCGATCTCCATGTTCTCGACACTAAGTGCATCCTCGAAAATCTCCTCAGTCAAGGTATCTATCCCCAGTATCGTCAAAGAATCTCTAGCGAGCTCGCGCGTAAGCACTACCGAAAACTGGGGCCACGGCAGCGCATATGCCACCATCATATGGAATCCACGGCGCAGTTTCATAAACGCCCGCTCTTCTCCCCCTGCACTCAGCAGCGGTAGCACATATTCCACGAGCTGGGAGAAGTAGATCTTCCGAGCGAATTGCAAGCAGTGAACGATCTTCTGCAGTAGTTGGTCCTTCTCGGGGTGGTTCAAAAGCTGCAATGCGAACAATTAGGATAACAGGCCCGCCCGCGAAGGACAACAAGTAACCCACCGTGTGTAAGCTTCCTCGGAAGTTCTTTAAAAAGTGTCCCCGTATCTCGTACCCGTACCAATCGATAATATTCCGTTGAGCAGCGTCCGGCCCCCCTTGCGACAAAGGAGCAGTCAAGAACGCCAGTGCAGCACTGACATCTTTCGATGGCCGCGTGTGTCGATTGAAGTGTCGTAGAAGTCTCGTCTCCTCAATATCATCTCCCAGCGCCTGTATGTCCAGTTCTCGGTCCGGGACCGACAAGAACTTGATCGCCGTCCGCCATGCTCGGTCCCAGGTGGCCTGGTCGTGCCACGGTTCGTCGCCTGTGCTCGCGGGGTCGGTCAAGTGGGATGCTGTAGACGAGCGGGAGCGGCGGTGCCCTGCATACTGGGCCCGGGGTTGTGAGTGATTCGACTTGGAAGAGAATGGGGAGGAGCTCGTCGGTCCGATCGCCGATCTGTTCGTGGTGAAGTCTTCGAGCGACGCGGGGGAAAACACAGACTCGAAGACGCGTCGGCGGGCGGGGATGATGGGGTCTGTGGGTGGCATTGCGGACGTCACTTGAGAGGCATTTCGATGATGTATCAGCGGTGGAAAGCGAGTTTAGCGTTGTCTTTATTTTCTTTGGTTGTTGCGTTGGCGTGTGAAGATCTGGGTATCGGCTTGATTGAAGCATCCCCAGATAACAACACGCGCTAGCCGGTTTGGGACGTGGGCTGGGCTTGGCGGATGAGTCAGTATCTACTATCAATATTCCCCCCTGCAACATCTTTCAACATTCAAGTGTATATCGATATAGATTGAAGTTGTTGCTGCAAATTACTGACAGTCTGATCAAAATATACAGTCAGACACCATACTTCTTTGAATATCCATCCACAACGATATCTGCCTGAACAAGGCACCAGCGAGCATTGAATGACTACATCGTAAGGCCTAGACATGCAAGATTAGGGCTCGCAGGGATGAGGACAGATGAGATCCTGCTGCTACAATAGACCAGCCAGTGAAATGCTAATACAAGTCCGAGCCAGCCTCATCCACCCCCGAAGTCCGAACTCAGGTTGGTTCTCGGAACAAGACCCTGCTCGGCTTTGCGCATCCCAATACGGTAGTCCAAACACCTAAAACTGGGTTTTCAGAAGGCCTTGTGCATTCCGGTGTAACTACACAGGTAATCACGCTTCGTGATGAGCATAGCAGTCCCAAGCGTCGGTATATGTATGGTGACGTCATGGGTATCGTGAGGTCCGAGTATATGCGCAGTCGGAAGATTCTAATTTCAACGCACAAGACCTCGTCATGGGTGTCGATGGAGGTTACTGGGTCTTATTTTGGAAGAGGTCTTTTCTGCCCATTTGTATTTGTATTGCTTTCCTCAAAGCAGCGGGGGAGCAACAACGATGCGGGAGCTGTAGTCCGCGATGCACGGCCAGTGCTTGGGGCATCGGACCGCAGGGATAGAAGTAGTTTTTAAGACTAGCAAGGCGACAGACTGGAGCTTTATCTGAATCTAATATTGAACTTCGATGAGAGGAGAAAAATATGTATGGCGGGACATGCATACGGACGGGGTTGAATTGCACGGGGACGATGCTGCGGTAAAGGATGGTTCGTGGACGGAGACATTTGAGAGTCACGTAATAAGTGAAAGACCAAGTAGTGAGGCGATTGAAGAAAAGAGCTGGAATGATATTGTCGTAAACGAGCGCTTTGCGAGCTGTTTCCATGGATCTGCACTTGGAGACTGCTCACTGTAAGCGTATCCTGATGTTACTCGGATTTTACGGTAGAGTGATGGTAGTTTGTTACCACAGGCAAATTTACTATGTACGATATTATTTGATCCAGGAACAAGACACTGTTCGAAGATAGTTCAGTGGCCGACTCGATTTAAGGAAGGAATAGGATGATCCAAGGCCTGGTTCTTTGTCATTGATATCTTGCACTGACCTGAGATGTTTTTTGGATCGTTGAAGAATAAGCTACTTAATTGGCCTATACAGTTTATGGATAGAGTTCACTGTCTTTTTGAGCTGCCTGAAGAGCTCCCTGGCTGTTTTGAGCTGCAGTGTAACATGGTTGCTTAGTTGTAGCTTCTACATGCTCAAGACAATAACTATACGTATTTGATCTCGTTATCGATTTCATTTCAAAACATCATCCCGTGAATAGGAGATAGCTAAATGCAGCGCTGGACTAACCACTCCAACCAGAACAGAAAGCACTGTTCTAGCATAACATCGAAGAGCAAAATACATCTCTAGGGTATCATTCAATATAGAGACTGCCCCCCTGAACAGACAAACCGACATCTACCGTTGGAGAAGTTACTTGAGCACGGATGATCATGCGACACCAAGTTCAACAGATGTCTCTCCACACACACCTCAGGCCCCTGCTCAATTCCCATTACTATCCTCCACCTTCTCCCATTCACTATCGGTACTGACATACCCCGAGCTCTCTCCACCCATACTAGGACGCTTTCGAACCTCGTTATGCTTGCCCGGCAGCTCCAGCGACGTCGGAGCCGCCGCGGTGGGCCGAAGATCGGAACCCGACGCGGCAGGACCCTTGCGTTCTGTCAAACTTTCCGTTTCCGTATCACTCCCCGGGGTGTCCAGCGCCCCCGGAAGTCTCCTTTTACCGTCCGATGAACCCTTCTCCTCTCCTGTCTTGCCGTCTTGACCGTCTTTCGTGGCCGCTTCCTGCTCAGCCTGCACCTGGCTCAGTTCCTTGGCGAACCAGTTGATCGAAAACCATAGCGACGCGGACAAGAGCGACAGCACGAAGAAATGGATGCTATATGTGAACCAGAGCAGGGCCATGAGGAGGGTCTGGAGGGCGGCAAAGGTGACGTTTGTGGCGACGAGCAAGGTCGGGGTGGGACCCGGCGTAAAGACGCTCATCCACAGATCCTCTATGAAGGAGGCCATGATGGTGTTGGAGGACGGACACTTCGGGCCGGGTAATCGCGGGGGAAGGTTCGGATCGGATTTGCGGACTGGGAGATAGGGAGGGAGACAGGTTGGGTCTCTAAAGCTGTTGAGACTTTTTGGTCGTCGAATGTGGAATGACGTGAGACCTCGGAACTGCGATCCGCGAACCGTTGAGATCTGTTTGTTTGTCTGTTTTGTTTCGTTTTCCTTTCTTCACTCTAAGGCTTCTTTAGGGTCTTTTCCGATCGCGCCTGATCCGTGCGTGGCTCAGAAGATCCAAGGAGAAGGAAACCGGCATAACTCACTGACTGTTATGAGATAGAGACACCTGTGCGCGTGATAAACCAGGGATCCGCGAGGATTGGCGGGGGAGTGAGGGGATGTCACGGTCGGGATTCAACTAGCGGTGGGGGTTGTTGGAGGAACGCAGAGTGTCTGATCAGAAAATACCCCAAGATTTGTGAGGGATCGTATTAGTCTACCCCACAGGGACCGTAGGGGAGAGAGTGAGGTAAATATGTTCTGTAGTGGGCGGCAAATCTCGAGACCACGATGCGAAATCAGGTGGGATGTTGAAGATGATGCGGCCGGGAGCGGAGAATGAGAAATCAGAGTCATGGTCCAGGTCACGACACCCTCCAGCCCAGGGCAGCCGACCTTCGATCCGGTCGAATTGTTTCTCTTCATTATAAAGAATCTCCTCTTGGGCACTCTCAGGCATCACATGGCCCCTCTAGTGGTGCCTGAAATGTCAGTCCTGCAATCTCAGAGTAACAGCGCCTGAATCGTCAGGCCATCACCAGTGAGACAACAATCAAATCCCCAGGCCTGACGATGACCAACTTGGGCTTCTTTCAAGATAGATAACCCCCCTCCGACAGCTCAACGGCAATTGGTGGTTCGACACGGCTGAAAAGCCCCTCCTGACATGAACCTATTGCATGGTGTTATCTCGCGCCGATCTCACCGCCGAATAGGCAGTCAGCAACGGACTGTTGGTTGTTTCGAGCCGGGAATTTCCTGGTCGCCCTGAGGCATGGGCACGTGCTGTGGCATACCAGATAACATCATCTTACAGTGCATCCCATAAGGGTCAAGTGTCCCTCGATGCCGATACTTAGGATCTGAGATCACCCGGGTGTTGCATGAATTGAGCCGAGAGATTCTCACCACGCAGCCAGGGCGTACATGAAAATATTATTGCAAAGATATTGGATGATATACATGAGAGTTTCCGTAAAGTTTATACTCGTTCTCTCCACCCACCGTGTCATAATTCGTCAACTCTAAGAGTCGCCATGCGTCTGAAGCAAGATTGACAGTTTCTTCATGCTTTTGTTCCAACATGTATAAATATAATATTCCAAGATTAGAAAATCAGGCTGAGCCTTGGGAAACACACTAGCTGGGCCTAATGTAGTTGTGACCTGATACGGCCAATGCATTGGAGACACATACGTGGTGTAGTATAGTATCCAATAAAATGCAAAGAAACATACAGCCTCCACCTTAGTAGGGAAATTATATACTCAGCCTTCTCTTTCTTAAACAGGCGCTAAAGGCTATACTAAAGGGTGTACCCCACCCGGCGAAAGTTGCTTCCTCAGCGCAGAGAAGGTTCGCATTCTCATTAATCGCTTGAAAATTTGGGAAAATAAAAGGCTTTCTTTGTTGGTATACGAAATTTCATCTACGCGCATCTCCGCATCTGCTATTCGCGATGGCAGAAATTCTCGGGGTCGTCTCAGCCGCCATCGGATTTGGAACCATCGTAGTGCAGTTCACCGATTCCCTACTTGTGCTCAAAGACTGCGTAGACCAAGTGTGCGATGCACCCGACGACCTCAAGCGTCTATTGCAGAGCATCGAGATAGCCGGTTACGTCCTGGCTGATATCGAGGAGGACTTCGCACAGGACGACGCGACGACTGTTTCTGCGCTGCAGAGAAACAAGCACGCTCAAAAGAGTCTTCAGCTCTGCATACAAGCGACGAAAACACTAGACGATATCTCCAAAGAGCTCGTCCGAGACATACGACCATCAGGCCCTGGTCGCCTGCGTAAGCACTATGCGGCTGTTAAGGTGGTGCTTCAGCGCTCGAAAGTCGAGAAGTATATGGCTGTGCTGCAAAACGCTTTGCAGTTACTGCAGGTGTCTCAGCAGTGCTATTTGCGGTAGGTTGTAGTCTTCGTTCTGACTATGGCTGGGGGATGAGAGACACGCGTGACTGACCCATGGTGGTTAGGGCTATGATGCGGGTACAGCCTGAGTTGATTGTTCAGAAGATGGCACAATCTGCAAAAAGCATCACCGACGAGGAGCCTCCTCCGTATACGAAAGGTACTTGACATTTCGTCTTTTCGTTTTGACGCGCGCGAGACTGATATCTAGCATTCAAGAGTCCTCTCAAATCACCAAAAGGACAACAGGAGAAATGCAGCAAAGGAGAGTAGAACCTACGTCGAAGTGGTCCTATCTCTGGAATCTAAGCATGCCCGTGTGGATGACTAGCAAAGCCTTGGAGATCACCGCTAGACGGTTTCCCGGTGGCTGGAACTGGCAACTTCGAGCCTATAGGACGATTTCGCACGATTCGGAGGTTGTCGATTGTATAACGGATGGCGATATCGCAGGCTTACAACGTCTTTTTGCCTCCGGGCAAGCAACGCCATTCGATCAAATTGATGGCCCAATGAACAGGGGATTGCTTGGAGTAAGTCTGACATTCTACCATACCGCTTACCTTTGAGCGAACTAAACTATACTAGTTCGCATTCGTTTTAGGAAAAGGAGAAAAGATGTTTGAATTCCTTATGAGTCAGGGAGCAGATGTATATAGTAGTGGCAACAGCATCGACAATACGCTAGGTTATCTAGTATGGACTGGGTCTTCGGGCGGGTTTTCTTTGAAGCTGCTCCCATCTTTGCGCGTCGTTCTCCCCCATGTGCCTGATCTTATCTACGACACAGAGGAGGAAGTTTTAAATGGAGTTTTAAAAGATTTCCACGGGACGGCAGAAGATTTCTTATTTCTCCAGCGAGAATGCTGTCCGTCATTCTATTCGATGTCAAGACGAACACGACTCGCAGTGGCCACAGGAGCTGCATCGGGTTACTGGGATGCCTGTCATATGCCCGAGACGATCCGAACTATCATTGGACCTGGTCCGTTGACAGCTGAGGACCTCCAATGGGACACTACGCTTATCTGTGACATTCATGGCCCGGGGAATTTAGTGAACGCCGTTTCTAGGAAGGTTGGTCAAAATCTGGCTGTAGCGCAGCACCTGGAATACACAGCCGGATTGAAATCAAATTCGTGGACGAAGGACAACTGTCACCACCAGAGAGCACTTTATGAATCATGGAATAACATGCTCCATGAGTTTCTGCTCATTGGGGGGGATATCCACCATGTCAATTCTGGAGAAACGCCATTTCTGTCCTTCCTGGTGGGATACATCGGCTGGCTGGCTAGAAAAAAATACCGCGTAATGGCGTGGAACATAGGCTTTAGGGTGTGGTTGAAGGAGCTGCAGGCCATTGGCATTGATCTACAGCAGTTCGGCAAAAACGAGAAGAGGATCTGGAAGACAGAGGTTTCAGAATTTGAGCAAGAGTATTTTGGTTGGGAGTTTCTATGGGGTTATGAGCAATGGCCCCGGCCACTCATGGGATTTAGCTACGGTCCTTCCCCTGATGACTGGAACATATGGGTGTCTGAAAAAACCGATCATTATGCAGGTGAATTTTGGGAGATGATAGAGATGGAGCCTGAAGAGATGCCAGGCGCCTGGCCGGTGAATGATCTCTAGATGTACTATCCGAAAATAAAGCAAATCATACTAGCCCTGCATTTATTGGTTTCTCTTTTTCATTGGCACACGCGAGTCTCCCTACCTCATTAGGGTCACGCAGTAGACATATAAGCTATAGATTGGGTTACAACCAGTACCTAGATAAAGTGTTATAATGGCTGTCAATATGCTTATCGTCCTTCGTTCTGCAACACCCAGTCAACACAGATTGATTCTCCTGTAGACTAAACGAGGCGACAGCCACTGTCACGATCTACAAGAACTAGGTCTCATAGTCCAAGTATCACCATCTGAATGCAGTTGACGGTAAAGACAACCCACGTCCCAGTTCTATAGTAGTCATTGTTTACTAGTGCTGGCGGTAGCGAGGGACGAGTCTGTGGGCTTATTTGTTCTAGACAATTACTACACTGATGTCAGTACTGTAGATAACAAGTGGGTTGAGAAGACGTCTACTCCTTACGCCCGCTCTGCTTTCTGTGGGTGGGTCAACCGGAAACGTGACCCATGGCGCTGGATATATGATTTTGAACCCATTGGCATTCGGTATAGTGTAACCTCTATATAATAATGAGGAAGAACAAACCTAATAGTAACAACGTAAGGAAGCACTGATAGCTGTTATGAAGCCAATGACATTCTCAGTTCTTCCCAGGAACAAACCTAACCCGAACCCATGTATCGGGGGAGTGATGTCCCAACTATCCCAGTCAAACCTTTGAGGTTGTCATGTTTTGTATAGCACATTGGGTCATGACAGACCACAAGAAAGGCGGTCATACTATTAACTTCAGTGAAGTGATGCAAAATAGCCCTACCAGTTTATTCCCTCATGATTCATGCTAGCACAGTCACATATACAACCCGCTCTTAACAATTTATCTTCTTTTCATATCCCACACTGACAGTAACCATCTCTCAATCTGTGTCCTGTCGACCTGTCTGCACAACTTGGTGTAGTGCAACCTCCCATGAAATGATAACCTCACCCAGACACGAGGCCCTGGACAGCACTAAACACAACGATGGTCTCGCAAGGGGGCTTCCATAGAAATCTCCGTAGTGTCGAATCTTTGTCAAAAGTCGGCCCCACTTCTCATAGAATAAAGGCCCTCAACAAAAGACAGGAGACTCTGGAGATAGCCCCATAGAATCAAGATGTCGTTTCCCAAAGTGGGGGGGGGGGACTCAAGGCACAAACCCACAGCTAGAGATCTTTCACCATTACCCATCAACAGAACCACAACAAGAAAGTATAAACACCCACACAAAGTCCCGGAGTCACCCCCCGACCGGCCCGACAATCATTTGACAGGCTCCACACTCCGGACCGGCGAGTCTGGAATCAACATAGCAGGCGCCTTGTGCCTCAACTGGGGCCATCCATCCATCCACATGGTCACGTCCCACATCGCCTAGCACCGCGAGCAGGGCAGGGCACTTTTGGTCCTTTCAAGAAGCTCAGGGGGTGGCTTATTCTCCAACCCTAGCCATACAGCGCAGTCCTCACAGAGGACCACATCTTTGGCCCCCAGGGCGTTCATCGAGTTACTGGATCTGGTGATCGAAAGATGATTAGCAGAATATGGGGGCTATAAAGCATGGAGTGGAGAAGGGAGAAAGGGGGGCGGAGAGGGCTTTCTCCCCTTTCTTCAGAGTATACGGCTAGGCTCGTTAACATCATATCGCATCACATCATCTTCATGCGGCCTGAAGAAATGGATGGAGACTATCCTTGCCGGTTTGATATCCGTCATGAACCTAATAGTTGCTGTCAGCTGTGGCTGTGGCGTCCGAGTTCACCCTGGTAGGTAATCTTTCTTCCAGTGCGCCCGGCACTTGGCCCCCAAATATACGGATATCGAGTTTTTTTATTATCACCTGGCTACGGTGTAGTTAGTAGCTCGGGTGGTAGGTAGGTAGATACGGCGGGACTCTCCCCTTAACTCCAAGTGGGTAAAAAAGCCCTCAGCTTTGTCTTCTGCAGGGCAAATCAAAGGATGCGGGTGAGGATGGCTAACCCTGCCTGCCTTGAGGTGTCTACCGACAATCGTCGCTTAATTTGAGACCCCTTGCCGCTTTGATCAACTCGAGACGGTTGAACAAATCAATCAATTCCCTTTTGCTATGGCTGTCGTCTATTGTGGAGATTGGCTTGGGGGCTAAGCCCACTCTTTCTCCTCCCCCCCAATGCCCACCGTCCAGCTACCGACCGGGGCACACTCGTCCTGCGCCTTGTATTCCCGGCCGTTTTTTTCTGTGTTGAAAGGATGCGTTAGGTGTTTTCTAGAACGATGACGGTGATGGGGGCCTTCGTCTACCAATTGCTTCATGGGGAATCCTCGAGGTAACGGGGGAGTGGGCTATGTTCAGTCTGTTAATAATTCTGCACGGGTGGCTGCTGATAAATATGCTGACGGCTTCTCAATTATCAGTCTGAGCTTTGCTGCTGACCACTGCAGGCTGGGTCGTCGACCCTCTCTCTCCCCCACGTTTGATCTCTCTTCTCATCTCTTCCTTGTGAAGATGGGGTAGTAAGTGGAGGATGATTAATGCGCACTTGCTAGACGGAGTCGTCGTCATCCTTCTGGTCATTTGTTTCACTTTCAGCTCAGCAGTTCACACGAGACCGGCACGAACACCAACACTAACAGTAGCAAAAGCCAATGCCGATCCCCATCCATGGGCTAGCGCTTAAAGCCTGTAAGTGTCGGTCAATAAATATGTCCGTCCGTGGGCCCTGGTTGGGTTCGCGGTCAACGGTCAACTAGCCGCTGTTGTCTAATTCATTCCATTGGGGGCCGTTTTTGCCTCTCTTGCTCTTGCGGAGCAAGACACGCGCCGACTTTGCAAGCCACGGGCAAGATACCACACATGTCCAGAGAAAATAACCAAAGTTTAATTTGTCCGCAGCAAAGGCAGACTAGCGGCAGCCATTGATTGCGTTGCATTTGTAGGACTCACCCCAAGGCTCAATCGCTGCGCTGGCAGAAGAAAAAGGAGAGAGAAAATGGCTCGTAACGTGAGGAGAAAGAGAGAGAGAGAGAGGGCTGTGTCCGACGCCATGGACGGAGTAGGTAAATGGTCTATCAGCCACCGTGCCAACCCGGCTTAATTCATCGACAGTGCGGAGTGAAGGCGAGGTCCAACCAGAGAAGCCACCAATCGTGACATTCGAACTCTGTAATCACTACTCGAGGCAGAACTGGGTCAGACCGTGCACTATATAGCAGTAGTATCATCTCTTCAAATAATCCTGGAATGAAGCCCTGCCCCCTTTCGTGATTATTGTTTGTTGGATCTATTTTCGTTCGATGCTTACTCTCCCACCCCACCCTATCAGCACCATGGCTGAGGTTGATAGGGCTTATGGTGACTTGCCTGTTGGGGTAAAAAGGCTGCATTCCGACCAGGCCGGAATTGGACGGGGCCTAATCTTGTAGCGGCTCTCCCAGTGGATTACAGGGGGAAAGGTGACAAATCATGAGCCTCGTTGGACCGTGCTTGGGTCCCCGGTTTTTTCCTTGTATTTTTTTAATTTTTCTGCATATTTTTCTGTTTCTGTTGTTTTCACGTTCCTGAATTGTTCGGCACGGTGGGTTCGACCCTCGGACGTGATTCATCAGAAAAATGGAGTGCTTACTGGAGGGGCTCCAGCGAGATTTAAGACACAGCTGCCAACGAAAGTGGCTGGAGCATGTAGGTTACACCCGCTCTGGCTGGGGGCAGCTCCAGCAGGATCGATAGAAGTGCCATGGCACGTGGAGTCAAGTCGATCGTAGGACCCTGGCCTCTGAACCTGGTGACACCTAGAAGAAGTGTCATCAGGGGACGCCGGAGGGCAGACATGCAATGGCGGCGTGTGGACCGCTATCATGTCACACCATATGGCTGATAGACTGTCGAAGAGGTCAATCGTCTCGGAATGAAAATACTTAGCCACATTAATCAAAAGTACGGAAACAAACAATAGTGACAATGATAAAGATAACTATTGTAATGTTCATAAATTAATAATAACCATAATAAGAGCGCGGGCAAAAGCAACGATAAGAGGTCGAAAATCGGGGGATTCGAACTTCCGTGAAGACCACATATTGGTTGACGCCTTACCGTCGTGCGCGCCACGAGGAATCAAAGTCCAAGGAAATACTTTTCCAATCAATAGGCGCGTCGGATGCAGCTCGCCGAGTCGATAAACGGCCCCAAATTTTGATGAGGATGGGCCCATCAATTGCTGTGTGGGGAAAAGGAGGAGAGTACCAGAAAAAAGAAAGCATCGGGACGGAGGCAAAAGCCGCCCGATAGGGTCAGGTTGGACCAAACCAAGCTGGAAACTGACACGTACCTCGTAAACGACATAAGGCTAGGTCTTCCTTGGTTAGATCGTCAATCTAACGGGACTTGGGCCCGGTGTGATGCTGGAGCGGAGGGGTGATCCTCTGTCACAAGAAGCTGCCTAGTTATTTTTTTTTACGAGCCTCTGGGTGCCGAGTTCCAACTGAGCGGTTACTGGCCTTAGAAATAGGTTCTTGATCCTGGTTCATCCTTACCGTGGCTGTCAAACTCCCATCCCAACTGACTCATGTGGTTGGATAGTGGGCAGTTCTCTGACAGAACAAGGAAAACAAAGAATGAATACGGGGTAAAGGGGAAAAGACATCAAGGGGCAAGGGGAACAAAAGACAGGTGCACTTAAGCGCTCACCTCGAAAAAGTAAAAAGGAAAAAACAATAAAATAAGTTTCCGCCCGCGTTCCACGGCTGGCAGTGTTGGTGCCAGGTGGTATACCGTTGGTTCGTGCACCAAACCCATGTGATGGACCAAAAGTTGTTTTCGCTCCGACAAGGATGACTTCACCGTGGCTGGAAATTCCCAGGGGCCCTTCCAGGCTGATTGTTCGCATCGGGATGTTGGGGTCGACGATCGCTCGTACCCGTGCTTGTAGGCACGTCTGCCCGCCCTGCGACAAGCTCTATCGAGCCACTAAGCGTTTATGAATATGTGAACATCCAATCCCCATGTGGCTTCCAGCTCTCCTTGCCGTTGGTGCAGGTCAAGCAAGAATGGACAATACTCCGGAGTTCTTATGGTGTCAATATCTCGCACTGTGATCGACACATACGGTCGGGCAAATCAGAGGGCTAATTGATAATTGTTAGGATCCATCGAGTGGCGGGCGACCACGACTACTCCCGTGGGGGCCAAAATATGAACAAGCCAAAGGTTCTGCTGCACCCGACAGATGGCCCTTGTTCAATTCTGGTGGACTTTGGCAAGAACCGTTCATGGCGCAGTGCAGCCGTTGATCTGGTTCGACGAAATAAAGGGATTTTTCTGAAGCCTATTGCCTATCACCACCAATGATCATGGAAGAAAGTAAAGAGGAGGATGCACTCCTGACCTTAAAAAACCAAGAGGACGCTACTCCCTAACTCCCCAGCCCTTCTCTCTGTCGGGGCTCCATGTACTCCGTTTTCTGGGTCAGGCGGTGTCCCCGGGGGTCTCCTGGGACGTAGTGGACCTGTCCAAGTACCCGGCGACCCGCTCTGGTTTGGACGCTTTGGCTCCACCGGCCATGCGAATCGCAGGCATTCTATCATCCTGGCCCCCAATTCACTCATCGAGTTTTGGACCAAAGAGAGGCGAAGAGACCGGACCGGCGACTTACTACTCGCCGTACCGCTAGGCGCTGTAAAAAAAAAAAAAAATTTTCAACCAAAAAGAAAAGATAGAAAAAAAAAAAATACCGATTCCCATAAACCGGGGCCAAATGAGCTTACTCCGTTGTCCCTCCCCCGCCCTCCACTGCTCCAGCACCTCGTTCCAGTAAAAAAGGTCCGTCGCACCTAGGTCCGGTGCCAGCGTAAGCTTCGCCAATAAACTTGGGTTGTCACTTGTCATCGACTCCCTTGGTCTAGTGAGGTGGAGTCTGGGAAACGGGAGAGAATGATTTGGGGCTGGGGGCTGAATCCCGAGTGTTGGAGTCCTCGCATGTTCGTCTAGGACACTGTAAATCATTTGCAGGACTATTCTGGATCGAGTATCCCGAAATCGCCCCTCTTCTGTTGACGATGATGGCAAGGTGCCTGGAGAATTGAGCCAGGGACGAAAGATCATGCGATTATCAATGGGGACGAAGCCAATGAGTCAACCAACTCATCATTGGCCACACTACCAAACTCGAGGAAGGAGAAAGAACCATGATTGTAGCAGGGTTGCGAGATGAGAGCCTCTGAAGTAGTAAGACGATGGCTCCAGATGATGACGAGACCAATATCGATGCTGATTATTTGTTGTTTCAGGAAAAATCTCGTCGACGATGATCAGGTGAGTGGCAGTGAAGACGCTTTCTCCCAGTTCAGGTAGATCGGTTTTTTTCTTCTGCGTTTAGGGTCGAGTTCCTGAATTTTTCTTTTCATTTTATCTGACTTTTAATTTATCTTATTCTGCCTTATTCTAATAACTCGATTTAATTATATTTTCTTCTACCCTATTTGATTTAATTGTTAATTTGGTTTTTCTTTGAAATCTCCGTTAGCAGATAAGGATGGCGCACTGTTCAGAACAATCCAAACGCTAAATATGACATGGAAAAATAATAAAATAGAAATAAAATAATGGAGCTCTGGAATTATTGAAACCAGAAAAAAACAATAATCATCATATAATAATCCAGAGAAATAATAGTACTACTCGCTAAGGCGACCAGGCTGAGCTTCCCAACTCTGTACTATCATTTGTATCGCTACGCTTAACCTTTTCTTATTCTTCCTCTCACTTTCTATCCTTCTTGACCCTGAAATCCTTAAATACGCTGCTCTGCCCTATCTTAGGGTATGGACTTTTGAGATTCCTTCTCGTGTTCCTTACTCGCGTTTCAATTAATAACCTTTTGATGATCAATGTTGATACATCCATACGGCAAAGGATTGCTCTCCACTGATTGACTGTAGGTTCATCACACCCCCCCCCCCCACCATGTCCTCCGGCTATGGCCTGCTTGATCGCCTTTTCTGTTTCCTCTCATATATGACCATCGATCTGCTGTCGTATCTCCCTCCACTTTTGTTACCTTTATATCTGTCTCCTTTGAATTCTCTGGTTGGGTTGAGATAGACGAGACTAATCCTGCGACATCAGAATAAAAAACGACATCAAAGTTTGATCGAAGTCGACAATAATTTTATAGTTCTTGTCACGAACTTGAGAATTCTCATCAGACTCGGTGATATTGACTTATTGCAATTAATTTCTTGGTTGATTGCTGGACGAGATCGTATCTGGCCCCTGGTTTTCCAAGTGTGAGAGTGAGAATCGCTCGCAGAGACAGCGACCTTTTCTTCCCTTCAAACAGTCCTCCATCCTCCGTTTATACGGGGTTTTGTGGCTGGAAGTGTATCGGAGCTCGTTCAAAGAAATAGCGTCGAGTATTCGACTGTACGTCTTCTCCGTCACCGTTTCCCTATTTCCATTGTTCACTGCCTTCCGTCTTTCCGGATCACAGGCTGTAAGGGAAGCCCGTTGCTAATGTCCTCGTGTTAAAGGCGACAAAGGTATAACAAACACCTCAGCATATTAAATGGACACTATGACGCATAACCCACAAAGTAGGTTGAGACGACACGCTGAATGGGAACTGTTCGTTGACCAAGTTCAACAGATTACGGCTGGCCTAGCCGGTCATCACAACCGCTTCAACCCCCATCCATGGCAGTGGGTCAGCCCGCGTTCGCCCCCCCACACAGCATGTCTTCATCGGCTGGATATCCTGCATATGGCCACCAACTTCCTCCCTCTCAAAGCTTCTATCCGCCAGGAGCCCCTTCGTCACACTATCTTTTACCACAAGCCCGCCAGCAACCCCGAAGGTACGAGAATCTATGCCGTCAAGAATCAGCCTTTCGATTGCGGCTACTGACTTACTGCGCCCAAAAAGTTCCTCCATTTCTTACTCTTATCCCAGCAGCTCGCTAGCCAGCAGTCCTTCAGCCATGCATGATCACCCGTTCACCTTGTCGTAAGCTTACCCCCGTCCCCGTCCCCCGAGGCTAGGAAAGGCTGTACTAAGACCAAGGCAGACCACCATCATACCTTATGAACCAGTCAGAATACTACCTCACCCCGAGCTCCTCAATCTCATCAGTGTTGGTCTTCCTCTACCCGTCAAATGACCCCTCAGGCTTACACTCGTGGAACTAGCAGATCCAACTCGAGCTCAATAGCCGTGAGCCCCCAGCCACCGAACTTGATGCCCCCCAGCACGGTATACTCCTCGCCAGATTCCGTCCCAGCCTCGTCAGACCCCGAGCAGCAAGTCCGCGTGATAAGTTTCCGACCAAAGCCGCAGTGTTGGGATCACGGGTGCAACGGACGCGAATTTTCCACATTCAGCAACCTCCTCCGTCACCAACGAGAAAAGTCCGGCGTTGTCGCCAAAGCCGAGTGCCCCAGCTGCGGTGCGGTTTTCACTCGCACCACCGCACGCAATATCCATGTCGCCCAAGGGAAGTGCAAAGGGAGTGGGCGAGACATGTCTGCGGAGTAAATCCCCGAGCGCGCGCGGAGAAGATAAAGCCACTGCAGCGTCGAAACACTACGTCGCATCCCATGAGGGCACTGAATTCTCCGAACACATCGCGCCCAACTCACCACAGACACAGATTGTGTATTGAAACATGTGCCACAAAGCAGAGCACTATCTGGATTATCTTTTGCATACATGTTTACCGGTCCGGCATGGAGGATCCCTGTATATACTGGGGATATGGAGTCCCCGCTAACGAAGGTTGTGAACGCATCTTGCATTTATACATGGGGGAAAGGAGAACCCCTGTTACTTACCCCTGTTTTTGATTTTGGAGCGCCTGTTTTTGGAGGGTTTAATATTGTTATTGGTCAGAGCTTGCTACTTTTTACCTACTAGAATACTATTTTGGTCACAAATAAATTACACTATACATTAACTTATATGATAAAAGACCAAATTTTAGAGGTAGACTGCTGTTCAAAAGGCGAGAGCTTTGAGTGGAAGAACAAAAAGCCATTTGCAAGATTTCTTATCGACCACCTGTCTCATGAAGACTTTAGTTGTATACATGACTCGCCACATGATCGCTGTCTTCCTATCCACAGCAACAATCAATATAAAAACTTAATAAACTTGCTCCGCTTAGCTCCGCAATAATAAGTAATTTATACAGAGGGCGTCCTCCATCATACGATCAACACCCCCATTAATCAAGACCCCCCTGGCCCTATAAGCAATTAACCTAGCATACCATCCACCAAGTGGAGGTAATCAACAAGGTAGATCACGCCAAAAGATCCATCAAGATCCATGGTTCATACACCCTCCAACCCCAGAGAGTATGCTGCCTCAGGCACCAAGTACAGCCTCCAACGTCGTGCTTACATCACCATCACCTGACCTAGTCATGTCACTCCCTGTAGCCTTGTATGTTTCATTTGGATCTCAGGAATGCAGCCAGTGACTCATCTACGGTTCAGCCTGCGCGATGTCGTCTGCTTCTTAAAGTGTCAATTGCCCTTGACTGCTTGATGAACTTGTATCCTCATTCTCTTTACCAGGACATAACTCTCTGCCTAGGCTGACTCGTGCATATAACTTGTTCAGTCCGCAAGATGAATCTATTACTGCACATACTATTACTAGGTTCTTTACGTGGCAGACTCCAACTCTTACATCTTTTACGTCTCGATATATTACATCACGGGCTCGTCTCTGTTTGAAGCATTTTTATACTCTTGATCAGGCCATCAAACCTTGTTTTACCCTACGCATAACTCAATTGGCCGTATAGTCCGCCGGATTGTGAGCTATGGCGTCCATTTTCACTTATGATCCGGACCCGCCTCGGGTCTCCTCGCCATGGTCCACGTCAGGTACATCTACCCCCCAGGTTTGGGGGCCTAGCGGTCGTGGCATGGCGACTAAATCCCGGTCCAACTCGAGCCTGCGCTTGGCTCTGACCGATCCCGATTTTCTGTCCGACTACGGGATCAGCAAACTGGAGCCGGAACCGCAAGAGGGTCCGATGGAATATAAGCTGCATCTTCTCCTTCGCCCGCGGCGACTCTATAGCTCCACTTCGACTAGGCCTGCCGCCGGTAGATCTTGCCATTCCCATGAGAGCGGCTCCACCTCGGGCCCGACATCTGCCAGCTACGAATCGGGTGCGAAACCGGCTCCGACTCCGTCGACGCAGAGTCGACAGCAGCGGTTGCAGCAGTTGACTACCCAACTTTTGTGGCGGTTGCAGCAGTCTTCGCCTTTCCATTCGTCTACCGCGGCTAGCCTCGTGCTGCCTGTTCTGCCTGAGGCGTCACCCCAGCTGGGGGTCCCGCAAAAACCCACTCGGCTACTCCCTGGTCTTGAGGAGAGCCAAGGTGCTCTCTATGAGATTGGTGTTTCCGATGATGGGACCTTTGTTGGGCTTGTCAACGACGAATTGGAAGAGAGCCTGCTCAACTTGCATGTTATGGCCACTAGCTTGGGCTGCAAGGTCGAGGTTCTTCGCAGAGTCATCGTTGGAAAATGCGAATGGGTTGAGAGCTCGAGCGCGGAGGGCACCGAAACTGGAAAACATCAGACAGGGGACCTTTGGGTTGCGGAGGCACTTGTGAGTCCGGATTGGGACCATTACCATTCGAACTCATCCACAAATGGTTACTGTGTGACGCGGTCCAGCTTGTCTGATATCGGGGAGAAAGACTTGCCTGATGCGGCGAACTCTAACACTGAGCAAATCCGGATCTCGATCACAGGTCCAACAACAGCCGGAAAGTCCTCACTTCTTGGCACACTGACGTCGTCCGTGCTCGACAATGGACGGGGGGCAAGCAGACTGGGGCTCCTCAAACACCGACACGAGATCTCGTCCGGTATCACCAGTTCTGTCGCACATGAGTTGATCGGATATGCGGCTAGCGAGCAGTCCCTCGACACCACGAATGTCATCAACTACGCCTCGGGCAATGTCGATGCCTGGAACGACGTACATGCGACTGCGAAAGGCGGCCGTTTGGCCTTCGTGTCAGACCTTCCAGGATCGGTGCGATATTTGAAATCAACCCTTAGAGGACTGGTCAGCTGGGCGCCCCATTATATATTGTTGTGTATTCCGGCCAATTGCGACGATGAGAGCAGTGATTCGGCCGAGAAAACCGATATCAACCTCGCCCTGTCTTATCTAGATGTGTGCACGAAATTGGACATCCCTATACTAGTGGTGATCACCAAGATGGATCTTGCATCGCGGGCTGGATTGAGAAGCAACCTCACCAAAGTCTTGTCAGCATTGAAGGCGTCGGGTAAAAAGCCTGCAATGCTACCTGGCTCTTCCAATCAAGATATCGACTTGCAGCACATAGCATCCGCAGATAGGGACAGCGTCAGGAAGGTGATCTCGGAAACGGACAATTGGATGACCACAGTCCCGATTGTCCTCACCAGTGCTGTCGATGGCTCGGGTATAGGGAAATTACATGCTTTTATTCGATCTCTACCCATTCCGCAACGGCCATCCTTGGTCCGAACCGTCTTGCCGGATTCGCTGGACGCCCCCGACCCGCCTTCCAACATCTTCAACATCGATGAGGTGTTTGCCATCCCTCCGTCGAAGGTGTATTCAATGACGGTGGACCGCGGGCAAAAGGAAAACAACGGCGTGGTTCTCTGTGGCCTCGTCCGTTACGGGTCCATCGCGATCGGCGACGAGCTCATGATCGGGCCCCTTTTGACCCAGACCCCCGAACCCGGCGATGGTCCAGCCACTCAGCGACGCAGGAGCGAGCAGCGCTCAGACCAGGATGATATCCGCGGTGTGCCTGGTTCTGGAGAATCCCCAGCGTCTTTCGCCCACAGCCTTCTTTCGGGGCGGTCCCGGTTCTCCGCTCAAGGCCAGTGGCAGCGCGTCCGCGTCGTGAGCGCTAGAAACCTCCGACTACCCGTGCAGAGGCTAGTTCAAGACCAAGTCGGCACTATCGGAGTCGAACCTCTCCCCTTGGACCAAGACGGCCAGCTAACACCCCGCCTTGCCAAAATCCGAAAGGGCTCCATCCTAGCCAGTTTGAACACCTCGCCCATGTTGGTTCCAAGGCCGTTGGCATCTCACAAGGGGTTCGTCGCCACTTTCAGCGCGGATCAATTCCTGTCGTCCCTGTCCCCGCCGCTGCTCCTAGGAGGCAATGCAATCGTCTACATCTCCAACATCCGAAGCACAGTCAAAGTGACATGCATGGCTCTCGCAGAAGACGAGCTGGTCTCGTCGCCGCCGTCTCCGGCGGAGCCCGAATTCTTCAGCTTCGACGGCGACTTGCCCGGCGGTCCCGACAGGTCCGTGGTCAACCGCATGGTCGGGGCGACTGGTGGTCCTGACGCTCCAGGGGATGTCCGCATTACGTTCACCTTTGTCAACTCCGTTGAGTGGATTGAGATTGGTGCTCGCGTGCTTCTCATGCCGGGTGCGTCGGCGGTGCTGACTTCGTCTGCGCAGAAATCGGGCGCGCCTACCGGCTTGGAGGGATTTTCTGGTCGGGTGTGTGGTGTCATCTCGGCTGGGGATGGAAGGAGCAATGGTGGTGTGGTATAAAGGGTGAATGATTTGGGTTGTTCTTTCCTTCCTTACAACATTTCCTCCTTCCCTCCTTCCTTCCTTCTTTCCTTCCTTCTTTCTTTTCTTCCTTCCTTCCTCTTTCATTTCATTTACTCGTTCTGTTTCATTCTGTTTCGCTAGGTAGCCTTTGATATTCTGCGCTCGATACATTCGGTCTGTATGTTTGCTGCTATCTTGCACTGTCGGGAATTTGTGTATCTTAGCTCAACAATCGATTTTCTTCGTATTTGATGTTACTCTATTCTCTTTCCCCCACGGTAGAGATATTCGAGAATGGATTACCCAGCAATGTATCCAACATAGACTACGTACTCACGTAGTACCAGCAGATATAGCATGTGCAACCCAATCCGCCAAGGGGCGATCAATCATCCCAGGCGATAAGCTGAGTATGCACCTATCTGTGGAACTGATAGACATGACGTCATCAGCCTTACAGTGCTTTCCCCACATAAATCATTGTTTTGATTCTCCACATTTTTATACAATCTTGGAACTATTCGCAATTCTCCATAATCATTGATATCGTTGTTATTTTTATTGGTTTCATCGGTTTTCCTGCACATTGAGCGCGAAGTCTACGATACGTTTACACACCGTACCAGATCAGATCCTTCACAAATAGAAATCCTCATCATCTAGCCCGTTCCTTGTACCTGAGTACCTTCCCTACCTTATAAGACCCAAATTTTCACATTGCCGTCATGCAACCGTCATCAAGACCGCCAAAAAGACGAAGCGGGAGCAAAAGAATTGCCCGCCGCAGGACTCGAACCTGAAGCTCCTCCCCACCC